CCCGAAACCTGAAACCCCTAACCCCTAACCCGTAACCCGAAACCCCTAACCCCTAACCCGAAACCCCTAACCCTAACCCGAAACCCCGAACCCCGAAACCCCGAACCCCGAACACCGAACCCCGAACCCCAAACCTCGAACCCCGAACTCCGAACCCCGAACCCCGAACTCCGAACCTCAAACCCCTAATATATTTAAATTTTTATATAGACTTAATTTTGTTTTAGGTGTTTCCTGGACCTCCATATTTTCTTCTTATACCTTCATAGCTAAGGCTAAAAGTCATTTTTATCCTTATCTCCTTACTTATCCATGTGTATCATTTGTTACCATCTAAAATTCTATCTTCATCCTCGTAAAAGTTCGTAAATTTTCATTTCCATTTTCCTCGTCATTTTTGCTCAGAACCCCAAACCCTTCTCATTCGTCATAATACATTTTTTTTTCTCTATTTTATTTCAGGTTTTTCTCTTATTTTTTTATCTCATACACGACAGGACTAATAAACATTCTCGACGGGATGTACATGCTGTAACACACCAAATGTTTTCTCTGTTATTTCAATACACTGTAATTTTCTTTATAAATATATATTTAAGATTATGTAATTCAGAATTTTTTATTTATTTTATGGATTTCAAAATTTAAAATAAAATAAAATAAAAATATTTTAAATTATATAATTTAAAATAAAAAATTTACATTTCGAAATACTCTAAAATATAGTATTTTAATTATAAATTATATAATCTGACATGTATTTTTTTATTTATATTATTGATTATATAATTAGGAAAACCAAAATTTATATTCCATATTATTTAGATTATATATTCTAGAACTTTGAAATTGTGTATTTGGAACTTAAGTAAAATTGAAATTTTGAAATATAGAAAATTGTAGAAAGAAATTATGGAGGTACAGAAAGAAACATCCTTTTGATTTTAATCATCAAACAAATGGTGGGCCAGGAATCAATGTATTATATATGTAATTGTCATAAAAGTTTATAAATTTAAAAACAAAAAACAAATTATTCTTTAAAAATTTAGTGACATGGATTTAGTTTAGTATTTCTAACATATTTAATTTCTAAATATCCATATATTAATAATAGCGAACTTTTCTTATGTATAAAACTTTAATAAAGAAAGTGTTATAATGGTCAAGACCTGAACATTTCTTATGTAACTGACTCTCTTTTCACTTAATTTATTCACAAAATAAAAAATATAACTCCTCCTTCACCCAAATCCGGAAAGACTAGTTTATTACAATTGTTAGAGCAGAATAATTTATGGTATAATTGGACGAGCAGCGTGGGCTGTGAGGCATTTGCTTTAGCCGGAGTTGCTTTCAATCTTTGCCAGTAGTCGATACGTTTGTCGACCCGGAGACTCTGCTAAACAGCACTAGAGAAGAGATAAGACTGAAATCGTAGGATACCTCCGTGTTTGCAATGGAATTGTGAAATTAATTACAAATGTCCATTAATTTTATCGCTTTCAGCAGTATGGCAATCTACGATTTTGATTGATTTTTTTCTGTCGTGCTTCTGATTTTCTTTGTCTATACATTAAGCGATATCTTTTTTTTTTTTCTCAGTATATTAGGGTTTGTATTCAGTTTGTGCACATGGTGGTGACTGTCTGTCAGCTATAAGAGTTCCGAAACCATAAACCCAAGGCTATAGTAGTCCAATCCAATTCTTAATTTTGATTTTAATTTCATTGTTTGATTTCCCATCGTTGCTATGTAGGTTTTGTTAGGATGGTTGACTATTGAGAAGAAGATAATAACGGGAAACAACACATATGGATTCCGGCAGCAATTCTTTACCATCTGCTCCTGATGGGGTTAAGAGGAAGGTTTGCTATTTCTATGATCCAGAGGTTGGGAATTACTATTACGGGCAAGGTCACCCTATGAAGCCACATCGTATACGGATGACACATGCTCTTCTTGCTCATTATGGATTGCTTCAGCACATGCAGGTCCATAAGCCATTTCCTGCTAGAGACCGGGACCTTTGTCGTTTTCATGCCGATGATTATGTTGCATTCCTTCGAAGCATAACTCCTGAAACACAACAAGATCATCTTAGGCAACTCAAACGCTTTAATGTTGGTGAAGATTGTCCTGTTTTTGATGGCCTCTACTCTTTCTGTCAAACTTATGCAGGGGGGTCGGTTGGGGGTGCAGTGAAGTTAAATCATGACCAATGTGATATCGCTGTCAATTGGGCTGGTGGGTTGCATCATGCCAAGAAGTGTGAGGCTTCTGGATTTTGCTATGTTAATGATATAGTCCTTGCAATCTTAGAACTTCTTAAACAGCATGAGGTTTGTGTAACCATGAATTTTCTCTTGGTTTCCTTTTATTGTCATGCTTTAGACTTATATTGATTTTGTGGACATGTCTGAATGTTTTATACTTGAGATATTCTTTAGGATTTTTGTAGGGAATTAGTACTACTGAATAATGAAGGGCATAGGTCAAATTTGTAGGCTATAGGAGCTTTTACATAGGATTCTTTTCTTTTGGATCCTTATAGAATTCTTCCAACAGTAAATTTAGTCAAACATGATCCTTTTAAACGTTCTATAATAAAAGGCTACTACTCATGTGAGAAGCTTTGGTTGTAAACACCCAACATCAGGTGTTGATGGGAAACATGACTTTGTTTGCTTGGAGGAGGATAAGTTTCTGAATCCAAGTCCAAGAAATCGAGCCATATAGAAGGTTTACTCTGGAAAGAACAAAATGACTTTAGGAACTGCCATTTGGATCTTGGGATTTCTGTTAGCACGAATCATTCATTGACAAGTGCACCGGTTGCACAATAGTAAGTAATAAATATTTATCATTCTCTCAAAGGACTTGAGCAATACACGACAAAATTTGCAATCAATAACTAGTTTAAACAAAGAATATTTCCATGGTTTGTACTGATGTTAGATGATTAAAACTTTGCCAACACAAACAAAACACTTTTGGAAGTTTGTCAAACACTTAGGATGTAGAAAATATTAGAAATGATATGGAAGGATTTTGTTAGGCTTAGACTTCACTGAACCCCAGTTTCATGCATATAATCACTCAACTTCTCTTCATTTTCATGTTAAAGTCAACCCACAAGTTTACTCAAATCCTAATTCCTTAGTAGAATGAGCCTATATTTCTTTATTAAGATTCAATTCCTTGAACTTATAACAAACAAACTTGCATTAACAACAAGGTTTAAGATAACTAATAACTCAAGCTCTATTCCTAAATACAAGCTTCATTAGGTATTTTGTACGATTTCTAAATCACAAAAGATATTATCTAATACCTAATGAATCAAATATTAATCTATGGATGATCAAACCACAACAAACATTAAGTTAAGAAACAAAATACTAATATTGAATGGAAATGTATACACACACACACACACATATATATATATATATATATATATATATATATATATATATAATCAATATCAATTACACGAGAGTTCAGTTGGTTACATCGAACAACAAAATGGGTTTAGCTTCTCATTGTCATGGTAAAATATTACTATTTTGAAGTTACTCTAATATCTCATCACAAACTTGTGTCTCTTTCTGATTTCAAATGCCTATATCACATTTTTGGCAGCGTGTTCTATATGTGGACATTGATATCCACCATGGAGATGGTGTGGAGGAAGCATTCTATACTACTGATAGAGTCATGACTGTTTCTTTCCATAAATTCGGAGACTATTTTCCTGGTACTGGGGATGTACGCGATATTGGATATGGAAAGGGAAAATACTATTCTCTTAATGTTCCACTTGATGATGGCATTGATGATGAGAGTTATCATTTCTTGTTCAAACCAATAATTGGCAAAGTAATGGAAGTGTTCAGGCCTGGTGCAGTAGTTCTTCAGTGTGGTGCTGATTCTCTATCTGGAGACCGATTGGGATGTTTCAATCTTTCAATTAGGGGACATGCAGAGTGTGTTAGATACATGAGATCATTCAACGTGCCCCTCTTGCTACTAGGTGGTGGTGGCTACACCATTCGGAATGTTGCTCGCTGTTGGTGCTATGAGGTAGAATGTTGTTTAAATTAACAAAATTTATGGCATTTATTTATTGTATCTAAGCTGGGTGCCATAATCCAAAAGTGGCATTATTGTCATGAAATTCCAATATTTTCTCCATCTTTCATATTTAAATATTAAAAAATACTGGACTTGAAGTAACTTGTTCAGTAACCGTAAGTAATGATGTTGGAGGGATCAAAGTAGTTGAGTATTGTTTCATTTTGCTTGTCTTGAACTATAAAATATAAATTAAGATATCCTGTCTTAGTATTCAATAAGACACACCTTGTTGTTGTGTTTCTCACCTCTTTGTTTATCTTGATTTAGTAGTTATATGCTACTTGATTAATTCTTTTGTATAGAAATTCATCCAAATACATTAAATGATTCATGATATATGTTAAGGCAGACAGGAGTTGCTCTTGGAATAGAAGTTGATGACAAAATGCCACAACACGAGTATTATGAATATTTTGGTCCAGATTATACCCTACATGTTGCCCCAAGTAACATGGAAAACAAGAATTCCCGTCATTTACTTGAAGAAATTCAATCAAAGCTACTTGAGAATCTTTCCAGGCTGCAACATGCTCCTAGTGTCCAATTTCAGGAAAGGCCTCCGGATTCTGATCTTGGAGAGGTAAACTTCTCTCACTTATTTTACTGCATTTTCCCTAATTGGCTCTTTTTTAAGTATTTCTTTTAATTGTGTTACATAAATGTATGTATTTTATATTATTATGTGTCTTGTGGGTCCATCTATCTGTTTCTTTTTCTGCTGTAGCTGCTTGGGCAAGTGCAAACCTTTTTTGACTGTTATATGTGTGTATGTTTGATTTTCAGCTTAGTGAAGATGATAGGTTCTTTAATCAAGAACCTATAGAAAACACAGTTTACACACGCCGAACACACAACTCAGAATTGTATAACCTCTTTGTATTACCAAACAATCAAGAATACAGGATACAATTGGATACAGAGAGCTTAACCTCCCCCCTACAGGACAAAAGAGTTCTTGTCAACTAATAAGACTCCAAAACTAACTCTCCCCAAACACCCCAATCCCTTTTATACAGACTTCTAGCCACCTTTCCTAACTGCCTTGGCAGTTAGGCTGTGTAACGTTTCTCCTTCTTCTATATACAAGTAGTTTCCTATCATTACTCCCCTCCTCTCCAACAACCTTGTCCCCAAGGTTGAATTCAGGATACTGTTCCTGAATAGTCGCCACATCTTCCCAAGTCGCGCCCTCTTGTCCCCCCTTCTTGCCACTCGATCAAAACCTGAGGTATTCCTTCTGCCCCCAATTGTCTTTGCCTTCTGTCCATAATTCTTACATGCCAAAACATGGGTCCTTCTGCCTGCAACTCAACTGGAAGTTCCTTCTCAACCCTCTTCTCTCCCACCGCCTTCTTCAGTTGGGATACGTGAAAGATTGGGTGTATCTGGGCTGCCTCGGGTAACTGTAAACGAAAAGCTACTTTTCCCACCTGCTGTAACACCTGGAAAGGTCAGTAGTAGCGTGCTGAGAGTTTTGGATGTAATCAGACTGGCATGGACGACTGTCTGTGGGGTCTAATCTTTAAATAGACCCAATCCCCCACCTTAACATCCGCTTCCCTCCTTTTATTCGCCTGAGTAATCATTGCCTCTTGTGACTGCCTAAATGTAGCTTTAGTTGTTTTAGAGCCTCATCCCTTGTCATCAAATCTTGGGCCACGGTCTCCACCGACGTCTCTCTTGGAATAAATCGACTCAAGGCCGGTGGGGCTCGCCCATATACGATTTCGAAGGAGGAGCACCTTGCTACACTTTGGTAACTGGTATTATACCAGTATTCGGCCCACGATAGCATCTTCTTCCAACTCCTAGGCTGCTTTGAGCAAAAACATCTCAAATACCCTTCCAGGATTCTATTCAAAACTTCTGTTTGGCCATCTGTTTCTGGATGGTAGGTTGTGCTCATTTTGAGCTGGGTACCTTGCATTTTTAAAAGCTCCCTCCAAAACACACTTAGAAATAGGGGATCCCTATCACTGACAATCGACACAGGGATCCCGTGCAATCTCACTATTTCCTGGATGAACGCCTCTGCTACAGTGCGAGCTGAATACGGATGTTTCAGCGCTATGAAGTGGCCATATTTGCTCAGCCTGTCTACCACCACCAGTATTGCATCAAAACCGTGGGATTTGGGTAACTTTACAATAAAATCAAGGCTTACCTCCTCCCAAACGGCCTGAGGAATTGGCAGAGGTTGTAGGAGACCCTGGGAAAAGCAGCCAAGTACTTATGCTGCTGACAAATCACACACCCCGCCACAAACTTCGTAATCGTTTTCTTCATTCCCAACCAGTACAATGATTGAGCTATTCTTCATTCCCAACTCGCCACGTGAAACTTCGCTAACAACTTGGGAATCCAACATGATTTAGCCGACAAAACCAACCTTCCCTTGTAGTGTAGTCGGTCATTCTCCAACGTGTAGGCTGCATGGTTGTTTGGGTCCCCTTTGATATCCTCAATTATCTTTCTAAGTGTGTCATCCTCTTCCACTTTTATCAAACGGCGCGGGACAGCGGCAAACGGCGTGGGACAGCGGCAAACAATGGCTGGAC